CCACCCCGTAGTGATGCTGATGAGAGCAATGCGACCCGGAGAGATAAACAAGGTGCAGCAGAAGGTGGAGGCAAAAATTCAACGCGTTCTCTCAGCACAAGTTCCTCAAGTAGTGGATATTCAGCAGGCAGGGATCAGGGGGAACAGCAAAATTCACAGCCCTTCACAGCGCCGCTCATTCCTGCTGCTGTTTCACAGGACGCACAGTTTACAATGCCACCCAGCTCAAATCAGGCTCAGAGTTCACCTTGGGATGATATTATGATGCAGTCATCCTTACCTGACAGTAAGCCACTATCTACTGGCCTAACGAGCCCGAGATCACAAAGTAAGCCACTAGTTGAAGCCAAAAATGACCTTTCCGGACAGCAGTATGCAGCTCCCGTCGGGATGCAGCACCATAGACGCTCCGGCTCATCTTCCAGCAGCGATAGCTCCATCTCCGCCGACATGGCCGGTCGTCTCATCTTGGTAGGACAGAGTCGTGATTTCAATGAGCGAATGAACTCCTATCGCAATCGGTTAACAGGTAGACAGTCAAGGAACGATACAAAGGCACGTGATGGCCGCCGCGGCAGCCACACTTCAATCAGTTCGATATCATCCGTTGATTCAGATAAACTGCCTCCTTCCCTCAAAAAAGTAAAGCATGGCGCAAACGTGGATTCACGAGGTAGGGAAACCAAACAGCCGCGGCCTCCAGCCACCCAACCAATCATTTACCAGCAAACGAAGAAGGAAACGCCACCATCTCACAAACCAATTGTTATTCCTTCCGGAAATACAAAGCCTCCATGTAAGCATACATTTATGTGTTTGGGTTATTTTCGACATTATACTACTACTAAACACTACGGACAATGATTAGTAATTTTCTTGCTTTATTTAGGCATAATAACGGCACTGAGATTCAAAGAAAAAAGCTGTTATAATAAAGTCATTAGGCCAAGTTGCCGGCATACGCTCTTTTCCGTAAGAACAAAACCTAAAGTATACAGGGTTTTCCAAAAAAATGTATACACATTTTAAATAATATTCGACTTGCTGTTATGATGATTTTATTATTTAAAAAATGAAAACGATATTTACGGGTATAATTTTATTGTTTTTAATGCATTTTGACTATTGCAACTGTAGCTGAAGTAAGAGAAGCCATTGAGCATGAATGCACCCGAATACCAAGAGAATTGTTTCATGGTGTGTGCGATTACATTGCTTCGCGTTTTCAGCAGTGTCATGATAAGAATTGACGTCAGTTTGAGAACATTCAGTGAAAAAACAATTAAATGATACTTGCAAATATTTTCACATTTTTGAAATGCTTAAATCATGATAAACACCAATTTCACAATTATATAAATGTGTATACCTTTTTTTTGGGACACCCTGTATATTTGTCCACATTTAATGTGTCATCTAGATTGGCATTCATTTTATATCCACAAGCAAATCATGTTCATTTTTGTTCTTCCGAATAAGCCAAATTTTAGTCTTGTGAACAACGCGGCTCCAATGAGTCCTGGCCTAAATAACGTACGATAACTTTCCCTTTTTTGCGAGAAGCAGGAAACCTTAATTAAATTAAGGAAATATACTTTCCTGGAACTCAAGTAGTTCATGGTAGCGTAAGTAAGAAACTCTCCGACCAAACTCATCTCAAATAGATTCTCAGTGTTTTCTTTAAGTTGTCTGTTCATAATTTTTGAGAACACCGATTTTGGGTGTCTTGAAATGCTCTGTCTTGATTTAATTACGCGGCAATCTTCCTCCGCATGTAACATGTGCAGCATGAAAGCAGTCCCCCCGTCAGAAATCGCGTTTCTTAAATAGTAAGATGTATTTTAATAAACCACAACCAAACTCTATGCTAAGCAAAATCTAAAAAGGGACAAAATGCTTCAGAAGCCCTTTAAGGCGCGCCGCCTAAGAGTTTTAGTGTTTGCCTAATTATTGCAATTTGTGTAACTGGCCCAGTGTCGCTGTTTTTTATATCGTACTCGTAAGCCTAATAAGGAAGTGTCTTTTTAGACTGAGATTAGAGACTCAGTTGTCAATCAACATAGCTACCTTTTAAAAATTGAAAAAAGCCTTCATAGCTGCTTTCATCCACCTATGCATTATTTTCCATCTTCGCGCTGAGCGAGCACAAACGCAATTTCGTGGCTGCCAGCGATTACGTCTAAAGTAGCTTTTATTCCCGAGCTCCTTTCAACGTTAATTTAAACCAGTGCTTACGCATGCACAAAGAGCTCCGTAGATACAAATTTCTGGTTGATACGTTAGCCAGCATAATGCTGACTGCCTACAAAACGAGGCTTCTGCACGGTGCGAATGGCAAGCCCCTGCCTCTGTGTCACGTGACACAGATCCAGTCCGCGCAAGTCACCCTCTGTTGGTCTTAGGCTCAGTTACTCTCGCTGCCTATGATATGCAATCTTGAAAATAGACTTTGTATTTACAAGAAAGCTCGCTGTCCGTTTAAGATTATATGTTTTATGGAGAATATATATCTTAATGTGAGATTATTTAGCTTGTAGGGTTTGGTTCGTTAGTCCCGTGACATTAAAACCACCTAGTATCCCCTCTCTCCCTCCTCTTCGTAACGGTTGATTGGCTCCTGACTCCTATAACTGTTGCTTGTGTTTCGCTGACGCCTTTTATCTCTGACGATGGACTGCAGAAAGAGCTCGAAATCTCAAACAAGTAAAACTGTGATTCCAGCGATCGAAACGCCTTCTACCTGTGTATCTATACACGGCAACAGTAGCTTATGAGGGCGCACTCAGCAATCCCTACTCGCTGCATGTTTTTCTAGAAAACCGTTGGTTAAAGGGTTTTGTGAATGGGGAATTACAACACGCAGTGGAATATACTTTAATAAAGGTTAAATGCATTTTTATTTTAATGTATTTAGAACTGTTGTTGATTTATATCTGTAGATTTACCTAATCTGTATTATCGTTTAACTTATTGCGGAAAAACCCGATTATCAGATTGCAGGTTTCTTGCATTTCCCGAAAAATTGAAATGGTGGTAAGGAGGTCGTCTACTTCAACCTACAGTTTTGGGGTTAGATTAGTATAGTCCGCGGCGCTTTGCGCCGCACACACCTTCCATTTAAATGCGGAACAACTTACACCCAGCGGCAGCGGGAAGCAAATTCGACTGCATTTTTTTTCTTTTTACACTTCTAAAATTTTCTTCTCTGCCTATCCTATTTCCCCACCCCCAAATCTGTATAATCACCGCTTTTGCGGGAAAAATGCTGGGACTAGGTGTATATGAGTGGGCCTACATAAGCTATTTTTGCCCTATACACGTACCTGAGATACTAACATTTGCCTCACTTCATGACTTTACGCACTATCTACCCGGCAAACAAGGAAGACGCTGAATAAAAATGCTTTTTAAAGGGGGTTCCATAACTAATTCATGTCTTTCTTCAACATCCGGTAAGACTTTTGTTAAGACTTAGGAGCTGCTCGTGTCAATACGTTTTATCTTGTGCAATTCTTCCAGACTGCGATAAAAACAGCCGCGTAGCTTTCTAATACATATTGCTCATTTTCACACAGTTGATTGCTTCAGGTTTATGTCACAAAATGTACAGAATACTACGACAGAACCGAGTAAACATGATTATGTAAATATATTTTTTACCAAAAGGAAATGTACTCACTTGAATTGATGTTAAATAATGCCTAATCTGATTGAAGTAAATTATATAGTTTCAACTGCATTTAGTATTTTAAACCCTGTGATCAATACAATAATGAATTCGTACATGGTTTGAATGTGTTTGAAGACATCTCTTTATTAGAAAACATACGCAATTGGTAGACTGACTAATGTACGTTTTTTGTTATATGCAGCTCCTGTTAAAGGAAACTTCTGGGAGGGCCTTGCTACCGATTCTTCAAGTGACGATGATGCACCCAGGCTGAGTACCATCCCAGACGTCCGGTGAAGCAGCCGCAAAACGCCGTGCGCATGAAGCTGGCTATATTCATGTGAATTTCACAGGCCCCTGCACACATCGGCGTCTTTCCTGATTTTGGGATCCCTGTAAAACACACACAAATACACTCATTCATTATGTAACCAGTACATTGCCGACTCCCTGGCCAACATTTCGGCCACAAACCCCGTCAATCCTATTCGCTTTGAACGCTCCCGGATTTTCCTCCTTACGTTTGCTGTGGACAGACACGTACAAGATCTAAACTATTGTTCCCTGCAGAAAGCATCTTCCATGTGCATTTTTTTCTACTGTGGACAACAATTGGGGGAATCTTTTGCAAAAATACTCATAACAGAGCTGCAGATGAGAGAAAGTCTTTTGATTAGTAATAGTCGGGCCTGATAAAAAATCGGCAAGAGGAAAAATAAAAAAAGTCATTTCGGGCATAATGGGAACTGAGTGGTATTTCGGCCTGTCACTCAGAAGGATGAGATAACGATCTCGTTGTAGGCTTATGGAGTGAGGGAAGGATGACGTTCGGATGATCATTTTTTTGCTATTTTTGAACATTACCAGAGAAACAAAGTCGTTCCGCTGGGCATAACTGCAATAGAATCGGATATATTTTCTACAATTAGTCATTAACTGTATTAAACTCCTCTTAAGTGTGGGAGAAAGCCAAACAGACTGATAATAACTTTAGGAGCGGGGGGTAGGCGTGATGGGGCTAGACGTGTCAAAACGTCAGGTGGACATTAGCTAAATCTTGACTGTGGGCAACGCAGAGCAGATTACTGTGATTACTTTGGCACGTTCACAGGTGCATACGCTCGTACAGACTCCAGTGTGAGCAGCGTTTACCCAGGCGGTCGATGATTCGAGGCCTGAGGCGTTAAAGCTCACAGAGCAGTGACAATTTTTGGAGGATCAAAACTGCTGCAGCGTCTGTGACGTGCTCTCATCGACTGCACACTTGCACACAGCACTGTGGATCGCCTACAGTTTGCTGCACGCTCACATCGCCATCAAGCACAAACACCTGCGCCAATGATTGCTGACCAATCAGGTAGTGTGTGCGCTTGCGGCCCTTACGCCAAGCTATTTGTAGTTAAGCAACACACAGACTGTCTCACAGTAAGTATCCTGCGCTCACCATTAGTCCGGACCTACATTTAAAAGTTATTTTTTCGATAACCGTGCACTTTTTGGTCTTGTTGCACCTCTGACTGGAGACTGAGCGTAAGTAGATTATCGTAAAAGTGCATTTCAAGCTTTTCTAATGCAAAATTACTCATATGATATGTTTGAGTATAAAATAGCTACAGTTACGAAAAGGGTCTGTTTGAAATGCCATAAAAGTTACTTATATTATTTTGCATGCGCATAATTCTCCACATATCTCCTTACTTGATGTACAAAAGTAAATTACCAACACTCGCTGCTGTATAAACACCTCTTAAAACTTAAATAAGACTTTTCAATTAGGACCCGATTTAACTTATGTAAATAAAGAAGCATAACAAACGGAGAACACTACACATCATGCCCATTGGGGTGGAGACTTTATCATGAAAAAGTACTGAAGGTAATATTTTCTCTAACCTACGTGGGTATGATTAAGAAAGGGGAACTCATTGCCTCATCAAATCAGTTATATAGGTAATCCGAATTGCATAAATTTATAACATCTGGAAAACCCTTACTCTAAATTTCAAAACTTTTCAAATTTATTTTTGAATATTAGTCTTTTTATAATTTAAACGTATCAATACGCCCTCCACGCCAAGTTTTATACTCTTGTGAGAATTTGAGAGTTTTTTTTCATGGAGGATTTCAAGTGTCTTTTTAAAGAATCTTTCACATGTTGATATCATTTGAACCACTAGCGTAAATCTGACCGAAGCGTTTTTGGAATTTTATGATATGCATTCGGCATTGACTACAGGAATGGGCGTCAAACTATGATTATTTGTTTGAATTGATAGTAATTAGTTCGGTACATATTCTGTTTATCTCAAGTAAAAATTTAGTTTGCAAGTAGTTCTCGGAATGCATATTTAAGATACGAATAAAATATATCATTGTAAAGGCAGTTAAAAATGCGTTTGCGCCAGAGGGAATGAACGTTTAAAATGTTGAAGAAGGATGTATGAAATTTGGCTAGGAAGCCAACGTGTGCTAACCAATGGGCAGTAGTTATTAAATCTATTGTTATTTGCTGTAAATAAACGTATCATCTCTTCCATTATTTGCATTGAATTACAGAGAGCACTAAAGTCAAAGTACTGCAAGAAAGGATTCATGTTTTTTGAAGATGGAAGATGACCAGGTTAGCAAAATTATTTCTCTTTCACATTTCCCTATTTTCCTCTTAAATGATTCCTTGTTTACATCAGACAGCAAAATCTGAAAGATGGCATTGCTCGACAAAAATTCATATACTTTCCAAAAGATCAAGAAGTTTTATTAACGCATCGCGTATTAATAACTTTAGCTCACGTTCTAGGAAAGATTAACAAAAATTTACAGGAATAAATGTCACTAACATTGTTGTCTAACTGAAGCGTTTACTTTGAGCATTCTCTGAGTTATGTAAGGTTTATAATTAATATTTGGAGTGGCACCTGTGGAGAATAGATTCAGTAGGATATGCAGGGTCTGAAATCTCCCAAAAAGTTTACACTGAGGTGCGGAAAAATAATGTATCTGAAGTTTCGTTAAAAAGCGTTTCAAATCATATAGGTAAGGCTATTAGCAAAAACAACTAAATTGTTTCACCGCGGCTTTTAGTTAGGCTCTTGGGTAAACCAGTAATAGCTGCAATGCACACCACTTCCTATAAAAAATTGCATCCCTAGATGGGTTTACTTGAATAGAAAAGTCGAAGAATACTTATTGTTTTGCTTTTGAATGGATAGGTTATTAAATAAACGATAAAAGCAAACGATTTTTGAGCTAATAGTTAACCGATATTATTGAAAACAGCTCATATAAAATGTGCTGTTTAAGGAATAAAAGGACAGAAGACGTAATTCTAAAGGCTAAACAAATTAGTGGAGATCTATTTACTGAAATAGGAATAGAATAGAATAGAAAGCGATGCCTTTCAGTTTCAAGCATATTTAACCACATACATAATTCTGCATGATAGATTGCTATTTCGTATTAAGAAGTTATGTATGATTTTGAATGCAATAAACATGGTTTATTTTGTTAAGAAAATATACTTTTTAATTGACATGATCTTTGCCTTGTCATATTCTCGTCTGAATACATCCCTTTTACGTTTCAAGGAACGGGGTTTATATTGCCAAATTCCAGGTGGCCTCTTAGATAAGGATGTGATCGAAATTCACGGGAGGTTTCTTGGCGATAGGTAAGAGGCATACTATAATATATCCTTGCATGTATTCCGTCACAGTCCTCTCAACGAAAAAGAATACACACAAAAAGAAATTGAAGGCCTATGTTATAATCTATACCAAACAATTAGTTGAGCCGCCGAAAACGTATAATACAATGCTTTAAAATAAGTAAATATTATTTATCAGGAGACGAACAAATCTATTTGCTCCTCTATTTACTCAGTTCCTAAATATTTCACTTAGTTGTCATTTAAGCGTAAAAACAGTATTGCAAAACTTATTGTTACATCCAATGGCTTGCCGGATTTTCTCTGAACAACGTTTAATTTTATCGTTAATACATTATACATAATACTACGTGATAAATATGCGCAGGATTCAGCTCAATAGTGGCCCATCAGCGTTTCCCATGCACTTTCTGA